GCCATTTCATATTCAAGCTACATCTCTAAATCTCAAAAATATATATTATACATTCTTACACTAGTTAAGAATTTAAGGGGCACCTGGGTGGCTCAGTTAAGCGACCAGCTTTTGGTTTCAGTTCAGGTCACGATCTAAGGGTTGTGGGATTGAGCCTCGTGTCAGGCTCCTCCCTGGGTGTGGAGACTGCTTAGGATTCTCTCTCCCCCCTCTGCCCCTTACCAGCTCCTACTTGTGCACAAGCACACCAGTGCATTCTCAAAAAAAAAAAAAAAGAAAGAAAGAAAGAAGGAAAAACTAAGCAATAGTGTTACACTGTCACTCCAAGCTAAAGCATTTCAAAAACTTTCTTACATTTTTTCTACAAAGACACTCAAATAATACTAAGAGCTTTCCTAAACCAAGCATCAAATCTGGCCAATTCACGATTGTATGCTTAGCCTAGCCCACATTAAGGGGTCGATTAATCTTTGCTATATAAATTTAATTACTCATTTAATTAATTAGTTAAATAAGCCCCACAATCTACTGCATTTTCAAGTTTTAATCATTCCAGTGCTGGTGGCTCAGTGGGTTAAGCCGCTGCCTTCGGCTCAGGTCATGATCTCAGAGTCCTAGGATCAAGCCCTGCATCGGGCTCTCTGCTCAGCAGGGAGCCTGCTTCCTCCTCTCTCTCTGCCTGCTTGTGATCTCTCTCTGTCAAATAAATAAATAAAATCTTTAAAAAAAAAGAAAGAAAGAAAACACATATTACCAACACATAGAAAAAAAAAAAATGAATGTGAGGGGTGCCTCGGTGGCTCAGTGGGTTAAGGCCTCTGCCTTCAGCTCAGGTCATGATCCCAGGGTCCTGGGATCGAGCCCCACATCAGGCTCTCTGCTCAGCGGGGAGCCTGCTTACCCCCTCTCTCTCTGCCGGCCTCTCTGTCTACTTGTGATCTCTGTCAAATAAATAAATTAAATCTTTAAAAAAAAATGAATGTGTGATTCTTGTCTTACTCGCTACTGAGCTAAACCAGCTGGAATACAATCAACAGTTAGCTGCAAGTCTCTTTAGGTATCAGCTTAAATTCCAAGACTGATATTCTTATATTTTAATAAAAAATCTTTGTAATGGAAATGGAAAACCATACATAACAATGTACTGGACAAGTTAAAAATTGCCAAATTCTTGATCTGCATCAAAAATCTTTTTAAGGTTTCTTTATTTTATCTAGGAGATTTGAACAAAAACAAAAACAAAAACAATGTGATGATACCAAGGGATTACTGGAAACTGTGTTACATATGATACAGCCCTGTGGTTTTAAAAGTTCATATTTACATTCTTAAGAATATAAGGATGAAATGACACAGAATCTGAAATCTGTCTCAAAATCCTTAAGTAGGGGCACCTTAAGTAGGGCTCAGTTAAGCATCTACTTTCAGCTCAGCTCATGATCCCAGGGTTCTGGGATCGCACCCCAAGTTGGGCTCTCCGCTGAGTGGGGAGTCTGCTTGTCCCTCTCCTCCCCACTTGTGCTCTCTCTGGCTATTGCTGTCTCTCTCTCTCTCTCTCTTTCATATAAATAAGTAAAATCTTTTAAAAAAATACATAAGCAAAGAAGAGAATGAAAACTATAAAAGAAGCAAGTATAGCAAAATCTGGATCACTGCTGAATCTGGAAGATGACTACATGAGGGATTATTATTCCATTCTATTTTTATGTGTATTAGAAAATTATTTTAGGAATTTTTAAAGAATGGTCACCGAGATAATGAAGATAAAAATAACATAATAACAAAAAGATAACTGGAAAATCTCAACATTTGAAAACTACTAAGATATGTCTCAATAATCCATGAGTCAAAAAAAAAATCAAATTTGAAACTTAAAAGCTTCTTGAACTGAATGAAAATCTATCTTCGATGCAATAACAATGAATAGTCATAAAATTATGAAAACATCTCCACTTATAGCAGCATCAAAAAAAATGAAAGAATTAATCAAAAGCAAAAGATTTATACATGAAAACTACAAAAAATTGCTGAAAAAAATTAAAGAAGAGAAAAATAAATGGAAATATATCTCATGTCCATGAATCAGAAGACTGAATATTGTTAAGACGTCAATATTACCCAAAGTAATCTAGAAATTCAATGTAATCCCTGTCAAAATCTCAAGTGACATTTTTTGCAGAAATAGAAAAAACAATCTTGAAAAAGAACAGAGCTAAAACACTCACAATTTCCTGATTTCAAAATTTACTAAAAAGTTCTGATAAAACAGTGTGTTGGGGCACGTGGGTGGCTCAGTCTGTTAAGGCTGACTCTTGATTTTGGCTTGGGTCATGATCTCAGGGTCATGACACTGAGTCCCCTGCTGAGCTCTGTGCTAGGTGTGGAGCCTGCTTAAGATTCTCTCTCTCCCTCTGTCTCTGGCCCTAGGCCAGGTCTCCTTTAAAAAAAAAAAAAAAAAAGGTGTAGTAGTGGCAATACAAACAGATATATAGGTAAATGCAGCAGAGAAGAAAAGAGAACCCAGACATAAACCCTTGCACCCTTGCATATACGGTCAAATGACCTTTGACAGGAGCGGTGATACCATTCAATAGAGAAAGGAGTTTTTCAAGAAGTGATGATGCGGATACTGCATATCCACATGAAAAAAAGAATGAAGTGGGTGGGATCCTTACCTAAAACCATACACAAAAATTAACTCAAAATGGATCAAAAAGTTAAATCTAAACCACAAAACTATAAAACTCTTTTCATGACTTAGGATTGGATACTGATTCCTGAGATATGACATCAAAAGCATAGGCAACAAAAGAAAAACAAATTAGACATCATGAAAATTATAAAATTCCGTGAATCAATAGACAATATCAACAAAGTAGAAGACAACCCACAGAATGAGAGAAAATAAGTACAAATCTGATAAGAGACTAATAACCAGAATACACACAGAACTACTGAAACACAACAACAAAATTCAAAACTGGGTAAAGACTTCAATGGAAATTTCTCTGTGCCAATAAGAACAGAAACAATGCACATCACTAATCATTATGGAAATACAAAGCAAATCTAAGAGCTACCAACCACCTCACACCTGTTAGGATGGTGACTATCAAAAACAGGGAAAATAACAAGTGCTGGCAAGAATGTGGAGAAACTGGAAGCCTTATGCACTGCTGGTGGAATTTTAAAATGCACAGTATGGCAGCTCATCAAAAAGTTGGAAATAGAGGGGTGCCTGGGTGGCTCAGTGGGTTAAAGCCTCTGCCTTCGGCTCAGGTCATGATCCTGGGGTCCTGGGATCGAGCCCCACATCGGGCTCTCTGCTCAGCAGGGAGCCTGCTTCCCCCTCTCTCTCTGCTGCCTCTCTGCCTACTTGTGATTTCGAGCTCTCTCTCTCTCTCTCTGTCAAATAAATAAATAAATAAAATCTTTAAAAAAAAAAAGTTAGAAATAGAATTACCATATAATCCAGCAATGCCATATCTAGGGATATGCCTAAAACAACTGAAATCAAGGTCTTGAAGAGGTGTATCTGTTCACTCATGTTCATAGCAATATTAGTCAGAACAGTTAAAAAACTCAGAAGCAACATATGTATCCATCATCAAACAGATAAGCAAAATGTGGCATAAACATACAAACAAGGGAGTGTTATTGAGACTTAAAAAGAAAATTCTGATATATGCTACAACATGGACAAAAACTGACAACATTTTCCTAAGTGAAATAAGCCAGTCACACAAAAAACCAATACTGTGTGATTTCACATATATGACATACTCAGAGTAGTCAAAATAATAGAGAAATAAAGTAGATGGGTGGTTGCCAAGATTCGGGGAGGAGGGGAATAAAGAATTACTATTTAACAGGTATTGATTTTCAGTTTTACAAAATGTCAAGTGTTAAAGACAGACACTGGTGATACTTGCAGCATTATTAAGAAGGTATTTATTAAATACCACTGAACAGTACTTTGGTTAAGTTAATGTATTTCATGTTACATGTATTTTATCATAATAAAACCAAAATTTAGAAAAAAGAAAAAAATACCACATCAAAATTCATGGGATGCAGCTGATGCAGGGCACGGAGAGAAATTTAAAGCATAAATTATATTAGAGAAGCAAATTGTCAACTCAATCACTTTAGTTTCTACCTTAAGATAAACCAAAGATAAGATCTACCAAAGATAAGAGGCAAATTAAACCTAAAGAAAGCAGGAAAAAAATAAAGTTAAAGCAGAAATCAATGAAACAGAAAAATACAGAGTATCAATAAATTAAGAGCTACCAATTTGAAAAGACAAAATTGATAAACTTCTAAACGAGACTATTAAGGAAAGAAAAATAAAGGGAAACAAGTTTCCAGTATCAGGGACGAGAAAGGGAACATCATTAGAAAATCTAAAGACATGAAAGGATAATAAAGGAATACTACAAACACATGAATGCCAATAAATTCAACAACCTAGGTGAAATGGACAAATTCTTTTAAAGACACAAATTAAAAACAATGTTCAATCAAGAAAAAATCAATAACCTGATTAGTCTCATACTTCTTTTAAAAATTTAATTTGTACTCAAAACTCTTCCCTCAAAGAAAACTCAAGGCCAAGATAGTTTCACTGGAGAATTCTACAAAATTTTATATAAAGAAGAAATAATACCAATTCTTCACAAACTGTTGTAGAAAACTGAAGATGAGGGAGCCCTTATGAGAAGAGCATACATACCCTGTCACCAAAACCAGATAAAACCATTATAAGAACACAAACTGAAACCCAATGAGGTGAATACTATTAACCATTCCATTTTAAAGATGAAGACATTGAGGACTAAAGAGATTCAGGAACTTGCCCAAGACCACAGAACTAAAACAGACAGGCAACCTGACTTCAGAACACAGACTCTTAACTAGAACAATGAAACTGTCAAATTAAATTTTAGATACTCTTGCAAAAGTAAATAGTAAAGTAAAGAGTGCTGCCCAATACTTACCTAGAGACTATGCTGGAACCATTATACAGATCACTAGCATATGACAATGTAGCCAAAGGTCGTACTGAATTGTATCGAGTAAACTTAGACAAGCATTCCTGAAATTCATCCAACTGGCTTGCAGTTCTACTATCATCTACACAAAGAAAACAAAACAAAATAAATGGAATTGTGATGTAAATCAAAAAGCAGTATACACAGATTAAAAATTATATTCTAAATACAAACAATTCTTAAGTATTTTTTAAGATTTTATTTATTTGACAGAGAGAGAGATCACAAGTCAGCAGAGAAGCAGGTGGGGCAGGGGGTGGGGGAGGGAAGCAGGCCCCCTGCTGAGGCTTAACCCACTGAGCCACCCCAGGCATCCCATTTCTTAAGTATTTAGAAAACACTAGTATGCACATATTATTCAGGTGATCTTTCAGCTTTAATAATTTTTTAGTGGTTCATTGAAAGACACTGTCTCTTTCAACACCGATAAAAACATACTATAGTTTATGTTTTAAGCAATAATTTCTTAGAAAAATAAAAAAGTACCTCTGATCAAGAGAAATTTAATCTTCTATTAAAATAAAAATTCTTTAATATGGAGAAAGTGGAGATGGACAGGAGTACATACACTAAGCACATTTGTTACTTTGAAGGAACACATTTACAGAGAAACTTCTGCATGCCCACATTTATTTACTATCAAAACACAATTTATAACATAATTTCGATTAAGAAAGCAACTGCTTTTTAAGTAAAAATAAAGTGAAATACTTGTTCACATTATACTTTAATATTTCTCAAATCCAATTCTGAAAAGGGAGTGGAAAACTCCAATATATCAATTATTCTCAAAAATAAACAAAATGCTTCTACTCAAATGTCTTGGTAGAATATGGAAAATTCCATCCACTAGAACACTGTATAAATACTGAGTAAAGTCCATTTCAGTAAACTATTCATAATGAAGTTATGTAGAATTTAAATCATAAAATCATCTCATATAAGACTCGGATTAAATACAGCTATCCATTCTCTAATCTAGAAACAAGACTACAGAGAAAACATGAATAAGAAATCATTGCTTTTCAAAACTGCTTTACATTTGGACTTGTATTTTCCTTTCCAAAGAAAGAAAAGTAAAACACCCAATTTAGTTAGCTTCCTAACTAAAATCTGAAGTAAGATTGTTACAACACTGTTTTTATACCTTTCTCCTTACTTTTAGCTCACACACATACAGACACATACAATTTTTTCAAGGTAAACTTTTTCGTGATTCCCCTGCTTTTTAAAGATTTATTTATTTGAGAGAGAGAAAGAGAACACGTGTGCATTGGCCCATGAGAAGAGGGAGGAAGAGAGAGAGAGAGGAAGCCGACTCCCTGATGAGCAGGAAGCCTAATGTGGTGCTCCGTCTCACAACCCTGAGATAACCTGAGCCAAAACCCAAGAGTTGGGGGCGCCTGGGTGGCTCAGTGGTTAAAGCCTCTGCCTTCGGCTCAGGTCATGATCTCAGGGTCCTGGGATCGAGTCCCGCATCAGGCTCTCTGCTCAGCAGGGGGCCTGTCTCCTCCTCCTCCTCTCTCTCTCTGCCTGCCTCTCTGCCTACTGATCTCTCTCTATCAAAATAAAATAAATAAAATCTTTAAAAAAAAAAAAAAAAACAAGAGTTGGACACTTAACCAAATGAGCCACCCGGGTGCCCCATAATTTCCTGTTCTTAAATGTCCTCTAAAATAAGTAGGCATAATGAAATTTAGATATAAGGATCATTATGTCTGGGGTACCTGATGGTTCAATTGGCTAAGCATCTGCCCTCGGCTCAGGTCACGATCCGGGAATCCCAGGATCAAGCCCCGTGTAAGGCTCCCCGTGTCAGACTCTTCGGAAGTCTGCTTCTCCCTCTGCTCCCTACTCAGCTCGGCTCGTGCTCTCTCTCTCTCTCTCAAATAAATAATAAATAAAATCTTAAAACAATAAGTCATTACATTTACAGAGTTAAGGTACCAAGGATAGAGAGTAAAGAATTTATTTAGTTCATCTGGAGATATTAGGTTATCTTGAAGATAACTACTGACATAAACTTAACTAACACTTATTACAATGAAAAACAATAGGTAGTCTCTGATACTAAGCTTCTGTCTCCAATATTTTACATTTTAAAGGTTTAAACACTAACAGCAAATTCATCTAATAACCTATATCAAAAGTTCCAATTTTATAGTGTTTCCATTCTAAAAACAACAAAAAACAAACCCAATTAGCATGCACTGTCATAATGTTACTTAAATAATGCTCCTCCTCCATAAAAATTCTCAGTAAATTCAACAAACTGGAAATACATCATGGGTTACTGCAATATAACAAATCAACTTCACTACAAAGTGGTTTGAATGTAACAACTAATTGAATCTTTTTACAAATAATCCTGTTAACTGAGTACTTCATGTAATAAATAGTGACTGCAAAGACACCTTAGATATTTGTTTATGTATTAATTTAATGTAAATCTATTCTTTCATATTTTGACACCAATCCCTAAGGACAAAAAATTCACAAGCATTCAAAAGAATGTATATTCTGTTGAAGACCATAATCTTTTCCTGGGTAGCTAAACTTTCCTGGCCATCTACCTATTCATTAACACCTACTTCCAACAGAAGTTATAAAGAAAACACTAAAAATGGTTATTTTAGTATCTGAAAGTAGAAGGATTCAATTTTCATGGTTATGAAAATGTAGGATTTTGTTTGGTTGGTAGATTTATGGTTAATAATCACACATATCTGCAAGCATATTATTTTTCCTATTCCAATGACAGATTAGTTTGTGAAAGTGTGTCTGGCATTTCTTTTCTCTCTTCTAATGCTTTATAATTTACCTTCTCTTCCAATTACAACTAAGAGTTCAGAGCATTAATCTCTTAAGCTTCACCTCTCATTTTCAGAGTTGAAAACTGAAAGTCAGAAAGAGGGGATGAATTCTCATTTAAAAATATACAGAAGGAGAAACACTATGTACTCCATTAGGTAGAAGTTAAAATTTCCTCTTCACAGTTAAGGACAATAGGAGGACCTTCATATCCAGCAATACGGTAAGTGTAGTCAATGTGAAAGTTCAGTAAGACAAACTTGAGACTCCTAAAAACTAAGGACAAATGTTTTAAGTACAATATAGCTCTGCCCACAAAAATGAAATTTAATCTTCCTCCTGATTTTAATTTATCCCACCTTTCAGTAATCTTACATCCCCAAAATAAATTGGTCTGTGACTACAGCTTTACTCTGCCACAGCATGCCTATGCTGCTAGTTACTTAAAAATTATTCCCCAATCTCTCTTTCCTACCACGCTTTTTCTTTTAAATGTCTGCCATTTGCCTATGGATGTATTTCAAAATCGTACCAACAAATAACATCTAACAGGGTTAACGTGAACCTTCTGCCAATCAGATTCTAAGTCTCAAACCATTTTCAATTTCACAGCTTTCTACTCCACTTTGCAGACTATTAGAGGCTCAGTAAGGGGCTCAATTCCCAGGCAACACAATGAAAGTTTTCCATCTTATAAAAACTGTTAATCAATAATTTCATACACATTTATAAACAAAGCTTGGCTCCCTCACAGGAAAAATGGTATGTAAACCTCCTTTTTCCTTCGCCACCAATCCCGATGCAAATTTTTCCAAAGGTCCTAAGCAATGTGTAAATTTTATATTTTTTTCCTTCCAATTTTTATTTAAACTCTAGTCACTCAGCACACAGTGCAATATTAGTTTCAGGAGTATTCAATGATTCATCACTTATATATGACACCTAGTGCTCATCATAAGAATTGTGCTCCTTCATCAGGCTCTCTGCTCAGCAGGGAGCCTGCTTCCTCCTCTCTCTCTGCCTGCCTCTCTGCCTACTTGTGATCTCTGTCTCTCAAATAAATAAATAAAATCTTTAAAAAAAAAAAAAAAGAAAGAAAGAAAGAAAGAAAGAAAAAGAATTGTGCTCCTTAATACCCAGCACCCATCTAGCCCATCCCCCACTCATCTCCCTCCATCACCCCTCAGTTTATTCTCTATCTCTTATGGTTTGTTTTCTCTCTTTTTACCCCCATTCCCATATGTTATTCTGTTTTGTTTCTTCAATTCCACATGAGTGAAATCATATGGTATTTGCCTTCCTCTGACTTATTTCACTTAGCATAATACATACTAGCTCTGTCCACATCGTTGTGAATTGCCAAGATTTCATTCTTTTTGATGGCTAATATTTTATAGTGAATATATACCACATCTTCTTTATCCATTCATAACTCAATGGACATCTGGGCTCTTTCCATAGTTTGGCTATTGTTAGTAATGCTGCTATAAACATCAGGATGCACGTAGGCCCCTTTGAATCTGTATTTTTGTTATCCTTTGAGTAAATACCTAATAGTGCAATTGCTAGAACATAGGGTAGTTCTGTTGTTGACATTTTGAGAAACCTCCATACTGTTTTCCAGAGTGGCTACAACAGTTTGCATTCCCGCCAATGTGCAAGAGGGTTCCCCTTTCTCCGCATCCTTGCCAACAACCGTTGTTTCTTGCGTTCTTAATTTTAACAATGTGTACATTTTAATATAAACATGCCTATTCAAGAAAAAACTAAGGACAAATTTTAACATCTAATAAAATATCACTCTTCTTTTTTCTTGGTGGTCTTCATTTTGAGCAGGTGTATTATTAATGACATGAGTTAACTGAGCACCTAACTTATACCAAGCATTATATTTTATAGTATATGTGCTGCCGAAGCAAGCACTATTTTATATTTTATAGATATATTTATATCACCCATAAATCCTAAAAAACAAAACAGAACATGGGGTTGGTATTAATGTCCCTACTTCATTGGTGAGCAAAGACACTGAGAAAGTCACAGCTCAACGGGCAGAACTATAGTAATGCAATGAAAATATCCAATGTTATCATGTCCATGACATTGCATAAGTTATTTCCTCTATTTGAAGATGTTTCTAATTAACTTAGTTAACGAATTCTAGCCTTGATGAAATATAATCCTCTGAAATGCCTACAGTGATCATTCCCTTACATTTCCCCATTTTCAACTTGGTGAGGATCTCTCATTCCCAGCTGTATTAGTGGATATTCTTCTCTATTCCCCTAATACACTTATACAACATATAATATCACATACCTGTTGCTTTCCGCCACTGAATTTATAATACGTCCTAATAAGAGAAATCGGTTCTTTCACCTTTTTATTCTTAGCAGAAAGGACAGTGCTTAGAACTTAATAAATGTTTAAAATTTAATAATAAGAGGCAATTGAATGGAACTTATTTTTCCTAGCAACATATTCATGGTTGATTTTTTTTCTTAACTTTATATAGCTCACTTCACAAAGTTTAAAAATCCCCAAATAGAGGGAAAAAACAAAAATAGCTATGGGAAAGCAATGTTCTTCAAGATCGCCAAGAACCTCCACAAACATTCTGGTAGAATATGTCAAAAATACACACTTTTGCTCTATAAATAGGACGTTATATAAATTCAGCATAAGAAGCTAGAAATGGATCTGACATAAGAATCTGATGTATTTTTAGAAGTCTGGAATATGTACCTGAAATACGAGACATCCTTGTAGAAAAGTAACATTGCTCTAAGTCTTCAAAATGAGCAGTGAGTCGTTTTCTTCTTGATGCTAATGTGCTGTTATACCAAGGCTGTTTCTTTGTCTAAGGTAGTAACAAGAAAAGATACTTGTAACTTAGGACAAATGATAGTCTTTTTCTGCACAGAATATCTAAATGATTGCATATTCAAAATATCAACATATTAAAATAACTACAAATGGTAAATATTCATAGTTCTTACCATATTTTTCCATTTTTATTTTAAAATGCAAATAGGCTAATGGTTTGAAGGAGCTGGGGGCCAGCTCTAGTCCCTGAACCCAAGGCTCCTGGGGAAGCCTGGTTGTAATGTAAGGGAAGGCTGAAATCTATCAACATACATCAGGTTATACGGAGGTACACAGGTAGGGGAGGGATGAGATGGACCAAAGGCCAGAGGGGAGAGGCTTCTGGGGATAGTAAAATGCCTGAGGATGGGGCCCCATCAGGGAGAAGGAAGAAGCAGCCCAGTGGGGGCAAGTGCTGAGTCCTAGCTGGGCTAGGCCCCTGGTTGGTACAATATAGTTTGCTCTAAAACTCTAATCTTCCAGCAAAATAAATAAATGAATAAATAAATAAAATATGCAAATAGGCTCTCAAGGCCAATTTTATAAGAATGAAATAAGAAGCTTCTTTCAATTCTCTAAATTAAATTCAGATAGAATCTGTTATAACTACCATGCTAAATTTTAGAATTTTGAGAATTTTAATGATGTTCACAAGAAAACTAATGACTTTGACATCATCCTTATATTGCAGCCCTGTACTCTGAATAATAGTCCTTGATTGTCAGAATATATATTTAAATTAATACTGATTATTAAATTAAGGGGCAATAATATGTAATACACACGTACTGATCTAAAATATACATTAGAAAATCAGAATAACTAAATCCGATTTACATAAAGCCAGCAAACCTGAAAAATACTGGCATAGAAATCTATAAAAAAAGAATCTATGATCCTCAATATTGCCTACACCATGTTAAATGAAAGGATAAGACAATTCTTTCCACAAATGGCTATTGTCTATGATGCTTGAGGCCCACAAACAGACACAGAGGAGACACATGATGAGAGCTTGAGAGAAACAAGTTCGCCATAACTATACAACAACTGCAAATGTATCTAAGTAAGAAATATTAAGGCACTACCTTGAACAAAACACTCTAAAGTGAACCCCTGCTGAAACTGGATGGTAGGTAAAAATCTTATTTTAAAGCAGTGCTTGGATCACAAGAAATTAAGTAAGACAACTTCCAAAGATGTAACAGATAAACAACCAAACAAGAAGCTGAATTCAGAGAAGTGGTATCAAAGAAAATATAATGGTGCAGAGGAGGGGAAAGATAAAGAGGGCAATACTTAGAGACAAATAACAAAGAAAAAAACTAAAACTGAGAGAGACTAAAAAGAGAATTTGTGAACTGAAAGATAAATCTAAAGGAGTTAACCAGAACTATTAGGATAAAAGATTAAAAGAAAATTTGAAACAGAGGTTAAGAAGCATAAAAGTGTAAGGTTGAAAATACGGGCACTTAGAGACCCAGAAAATTTTAACAGTCTGAAGAAGAAATACTTGAAGAATTCATGTTGACAATTTTTCAGAACTGAAAACATAAATACAAAGAAATTATTCTTATCAAGTAGGATATTATAAGAGAAATCAATAATTAGACACAACGAAGCAAACTGTGTTTCTATCCAAAAACAAAATGATTTCAAAATCAGACAAATTAGGGCACCTGGGTGGCTCATTCAGTTAAGCAAGCCCCTGACTCTTGATTTTGTTTTGGCTGAGGTCATGACCTTGGGGTCATGAGATGGAGCCCCCAGTCAGGCTCCCCACTCAATGGGAGATCAGCCTGAGATGCTCGTTCTCCTCCTTCTGCCCCTGCCCCAATTCATCGACAATCTTCCTTTCTCCCTCTGTCTCTATCTCTCTCATAAGTATATAATTTTTTTTTTCCAAAGACCCCATCTATTTATTTAAGAGAAAGAGAGAAAGAGCAAGAGCACACTCAAGCACAAGCAGGGAGAGATCCAGAGGGAGAGAGAAAAGGAGAAGGAGACTCTCTGCATAGCAGGAAACCCAACGCAGAACTCAATTCCAGGCCCCTGGGATCATGACCCGAGCTGGAGGCAGATGCCTAACCAACTGAGCTACCCAGGCGCCCCTAAATAAATAAATCTTGAAAAAAAAAAAAAATTAAACAAACAAGAAAAGATAACTCATCTGACAGGACCAATAATTAACAAAGAAAATACTGAAGAGCAATAAAAGAAGCTAAGGAAGCGAACCTTGGTTACCCTCAAAAAGTCGAAAGAAAACAATTCCAATCTAAAATTCAGATCCTGGGACACCTGGGTAGCTCAGTGGGTTAAGCCTCCGCCTTTAGCTCAGGTCATGATCTCAGGGTCCTGGGATGGGCTCTCTGCTCAGCAGGGAGCCTGCTTCCCCCCTCTCTCTCTGCCTGCTGCTCTGCCTACTTGTGATCTCTCTCTCTCTGTCAAATAAATAAATAAAATTTTTTAAAAAATAAATAGATAAATAAATAAATAACATAAAATTCAGATCCTAACAAAACTATCTTGCAACAAAGTGAGCTAAGTATTTTTTCATGTGAATGAAAACAAAGACTATTGCCTAAAGCCATTTCTAAAGAAATGTGTGAAACTGTATGCTTGAAAAATTCAGTAAACAAACCAGAAGGCCTGAACATAAAATGAAAAGAAGAAAACCTATAACCATTAAGCAATTTTAAAAACCGTTTGTAACATTAATTATAATATCTAAATTATGGCGCTTAAGAACAAGTCAGAATAAATACACCAAAAAACGGCATATAAATCAGAAGAGTGAAGAAAGTTTCAATTCTGGAGCACTTAATGCTGTTCAGGAGAGTAATTAAGATATTAAATTTAATGAAAAATTGCTCAATATCACTGATCAGGGAAATGCTAATCAAAACCACAATGGAGATATCACCTCATACCTCTCAGAATGACTGAAGTCAAAACAAACAAACAAACAAGTGTTGACAAGGATATGGAGAAAAAGGAGCCCTTGTATGTACACTGTTGGTGGGAATGAAAACTGGTGAAGCCATTGTGGAAAACAGAATGGAGATTCCTCAGAAAATTAAAAGCAGAACTACCATATGATCCAGTAATTCCACTCCTGGGTATTTACCCAAACAATGTGAAAACACTAATTCAAAAAGATGCAAGCACTCTATGTTTACTGAAGCATTATTTACAATAGCTAAACTATGGAAGCAGCCCAAGTGTCCACTGATAGATGAACAGATAAAGAAGATGTGGTGCATGGGTGGGCGGGGGGATATTACTCAGCCACGAAAAAGAACGAAATTTGCTATTTGCAACAAACATGGATGGATCTGGAGGGTATAAGAGGGTTATACTTAGTAAACTAAGTCAGAAATAGACAAGTATCATACCATTTCACTCACATGTGGAATTTAATAGAACAAAACAAATGAAGAAAAAAAGAGACAAATCAAAAAACAGACTCTTCACAGAGAACAAACTGATGACTACTAGAGAGGAGGTAGGCAGGGAGATGTGTGAAATAGGTGAAGGGGATTAAGATTATACTTATCACAATGAGCACTGAGTTAATATATAAAACTGCTGTATCATTATATTGCATATCTAAAACTAATACAGCATTGTATATCAACTAAAAAATTACATTTCTTAAAAGATGATAATAAGTTTAGATTCTGTTTAGGTGTTAAGTTTTTATCAATTTCAAAGATAACTACTGAAAGCATAGTAACAGAATAGGTAACATTTAAAACAGTAAAATGGTGGGAGAAGGGGGTAAAAATTTAAGAGAAAAACACAAAAAGTGAGACAAATAGCAAGCATTAAAGAGTAATAAATATAAATACTAATTAAATTAGTGATGGGAATTTTATTTATTTATTTTTTTTAAAGATTTTATTTATTTGACAGAGATCACAAGTAGGCAGAGAGGCAGGCAGAGAGAGAGAGGAGGAAGCAGGCTCCTTGCCAAGCAGAGAGCCTGATGCGGGGCTCGATCCCAGGACCTGGAGATCATGACCTGAGCCGAAGGCAGAGGCTTAACCCACTGAGCCACCCAGGCGCCCCAGTGATGGGAATTTTAAAACACAACTGTATGCTATCTGCCAACACTGAAAATATAAAGACACTAAAAATCTGGAAGTAATAACATGAAAAATAATATACTAGGCAAATTTAGTCAAAGGAGAAAAAAAAAGAAGAAAAGCATTAATGGAAATGGGAATAGCCCCTGGAAATGCAAAACTTCCAACTTAATAATTGTATACCCAGTACTCACATAACAGCACAGCATCAAAAATATATAAAGTGGGCGCCTGGGTGGCTCGGTGGGTTAAAGCCTCTGCCTTCAGCTCAGGTCATGATCCCAGGGTCCTAGAATTGAGCCCCACCATCGGGCTCTTTGCTCAGCAGGGAGCCTGCTTCCTCCTCTCTCTCTCTGCCTGCCTCTCTGCCTACTTGCCTACTACTGTCTGTCAAATAAATAAATAAAATCTTTAAAATTTAAAAAAAAAATATATATATATATATATAAAGTAAAAATTCCTAAAGAAATTGACCAACCCAACAACATAGCAGATTAACCTCATCAACTCAACTAAGAAAATGATATGACCTAATTTAAAAGCTTAATTTAATGAATACATACAAAACACTGTATCCAATTAGAAACATATATTCCTCCTAAGCATACATAGAACATTTCCAAAATTGGCCATGTGTTATATCACTGAATATGTTTATAATCTCAAAAGGGCAGAATTTCTTAAATGAAACCCAAAGGGCACTAATTATAAAAGTTACAAATTCAGTAACTCAAATTTAGAACTTCTGTTCATCAAAATCTGTCATTAGAGACAAGAAGATACAAACTCCAAGAAGATATTCACCATATGCACAACACCTAAGAAACAAGTTATTACTACCTTGAACATATATTAACGCTTTTATAAGTAAATCCAATATTTAAAAAATGGAAAAAGATATGAAATG